TTTCAGTTATTCCATTTCTCCTCAACGGTCGGTCAATCTTTCTTATTTGAGACAGTCTTTAGTAGGTATGCAGTGATAGCTTATGGTTTTAATTTGCATTTTCTTTCCCTAGTGACCAGCGATATTGAGAGTCTTTCCATGTGCTTATTTACCATCTGTTTATCTTCTTTGGTGAAATATCTGTTTAAATCTTTTGCCCATTTTATTTTAGTTTAGTTTTTTATTTAAGATTCTATTTATTTATTTGAGAGAGACAGAGTGAGAGAGAGAGAGAGAGAGAGAGAGAGAGAGAGTACGAACGGGGGAGGGGCAGAGGGAGAAGCAGACTCCCTGCTGAGCAGGCAGCCCAATAGGGGCCTTGATCCCAGGACCCCAAGGTCATGACCTAAGCCGAAGTCAGACGTCCAACTGACTGAGCCGCCCAGGCCCCCTATCTTTTGCCCATTTTAAAAATCATTTGTTTTCTTATTATTGAGTTTGAGAGTTCTTTGTATATTCTAGACAGAGCTCTTAATTAGATATAGAATTTGCAAATATGTTCTCCTAGTCTGTGACTTATCTTTCTATTCTCTATAGTATCTTTAGAAGATTCAAATTTTGATGAAGTCCAATATATCAGTTTTTTCTACAATGGATCATGATTTTTGTGTTATGTTGAGAAATCTTTGCTTAATCCATGGTCACACAGATTTTCTTCTATGTTTTCTTCTAGAAATTTTATGGTTTCAGGTTTTAGATTCAGGTCTATGATTAATTTTGAATTATTTTTTTTGTACTGGGCATGAGATATGACTCAAAGTCCACTTTTCTCCATATGAATATCCAGTTTCTCCAGGACCATTTATTGAAAAGACTTTCCTCCAGGGAATTACATTTACACCTTTGTCTAAAATCGATTGACAGTATAAGGCTCTGCCTCTGGACTCTCCTGTTCCACCTCTCTTGACATCAGCAATTTCATATTGTCTTGACTGCTGACCAACTTTGTTTTTTTCAAAATTGTTTGGCTATTTTAGGTCCTTCCCATTTCCATATGAATCTTAGATACAGCATATTGGTTGGTTTTTTTTTTTTTAAAGATTTTATTTATTTGAGAGAGAGCGAATGAGAGACAGAGAGCACGAGAGGGAGGAGGGTCAGAGGGAGAAGCAGACTCCCCGCTGAGCAGGGAGCCCGATGCGGGACTCGATCCCGGGACTCCAGGATCATGACCTGAGCCGAAGGCAGTCGCTTAACCGACTGAGCCACCCAGGCGACCCCAGCATATTGGTTTTAACAACTAACAAAGTTTGCTGGAATTTTTACCACAATTACACTGAATTTATAGATCAATTTGTGGGTGGAGTTGACATGTTAACAATGTTGAATCCTCTGATCCATGACCGTGGTACATCTCTTCACTTATGTAGGTCTTCTTTAATTTCTCTCAGGAGTGTTTTGCCATGCTTAGTGTACAGATCTTGCACACATCTTTTGTCAGATTTTTCTCTACGCATTTCATATTTTTGATGCTATTAAAAATGGTGTATTAAAATATTTCAATTCCCAATTGTTCATTGCTATTATATAGAAATATAATTGACTTTCTAAATTTTTAAAGATTTTATTTATTTATTTGCCAGAGAGAGAGGGAGAGAGCACAAGCAGGGGGAGCGGCAGGCAGAGGCAGAATCAGACTCCCCGCCGAGCAAGGAGCCCGATGCAGGACTCGATCCCAGGATCCTGGGATCATGACCTGAGCCAGAGGCAGACGTTTAACCGACTGAGCCACCCAGGCGTCCCTGACTTTTAAAAATTTTTAAATATACTTTATTTTTTAGGGGAGTTTTATGTTCACAGCAAATATAATTTGTTTTTATATATTGATCTTGTATCCTTCATCCTTGCTAAACTATAGTAGCTTTTTGTATGATTCCGTAGGATTTTATACACAATCATGTTTTCTGCAAAATAAAGACAGTTTTACTTCTTCCTTTCCAATCCAGCTGATTTTACTTCTCTTTCTCTGTCTCTCCTCTTCTCTTTCTTTGTATGTTAAGCTTTGTAGCTCATTGAAAGGAGTGGTCATCTTTTATAATGGCTGATTATGATTACAGAATTTGAAAAACATTATTTAACCAATGAGCAACATTATGGTATATTTTCAAGTGAAAGGCTTTTGTCTCATTTGCAATTTGTCACAGAAATTGATGGAGAAAAATGTTATAGCTCTTTTATGAAATGGACACAAGTAGTATTATAAGATATACATTTTTGGTATATATATATGTATATTATATATATGTAATGCTGAATCATGCAGTAATAAGGCTCTGACTCTGGAGATCTGCTACTCAAAGTATAGAGTTTGACATCAGATTTTCAAATGTTAGGTTGATTGTTGGACTAGATTAGTCAGGGTGGGAGAAGTTTGATGTTACGCTTTATTGTTGACATCATTGCCCTTTTCAGGAGTATGGCAGGTTTACTAATGGTGAAAAGCGCAATTATTTCTTTCTTTTGACTGGGTGCATTGTCTAAAACCTCTAGTATATCATGTAGAAAGGATGAAAGCAGACATCCTTGCCTTATTCCTGAACTTAGGGGGAAAGTATTCAGTATTTTACTACTGAGTATATTGTTAGCACTAAGTTTTTCATTGATGTCTTTCATCAGGTTGAGGATGTTCCAAACTCCTCCTAGTTTGCTGGGAGGTTTTGTTTTTTGTTTTTTTTTTCCAGAACAGATGTTGATTTTATCAAATGTTTTTTTGTGCATCTTTTGAGATAATCGTATGCTTTTTCTTTCTTCGTTTGTTAATATGGTGAATTCTGTTGATTGGTTTGGAATGTTGGAAAAACCTCGCATTCCTGAGGATAAACTCCTTTGGTATAGTGTATTATCCTTTTTATAAGTTGTTAGTTTCAAGTTAAGATTTTCTCTTTAAATATTTTTTTAAAGATTTTGTTTATTTACTTGAGAGAGAGCAAGAGCGAGAGAGCACAGAGGGTGAGGGAGAAGCAGGCTCCCCGCTGAGCAGAGAGCCTGACATGGGGCTCGATCCCAGGACCTGGAGATCATGACCTAAGCCAAAGGCAGACACTCAACCGCCCCAAGTTAAGTTTTTTTTTTTAAAGATTTTATTTATTTGACAGAGAGAGACACAGGGAGAGAGGGAACATAAGCTGGGGAAGTGGGAGAGGGAGAAGCTGTCTCCCTGCTCAGCAAGGAGCCTGACTCGGGGCTCAATCCCAGGACCCTGGGATCATGACCTGAGCCGAAGGCAGATGCTCAACGACTGAGCCACCCAGGTGCCCCAAGATTTTCTTAATAATATTTGCCTCTGTGTTTATGAGGGATGTTGTCCTGTAGTTTTCTTGTGTTGTCTTTGTCTGGTTTTGGATGTCAGATAATGCTGTCCTCATACAGTAAGATGGAAAGTATTCTCTTCTCTTTTTCTGGAAGAGTGTGTAGAATTGGTATTATTTCTTCCTTAAACGTTTGGTAGAATTTACTAGTGACGCCATATGGATCTGGAGTGTTCTTTGTGGGAAAGTTAAGTAAATTTAATGTCTCTAATAGATATTGTGTTATCAGGTTATGTATTTCTTCTTGCATGAGCTTTGGTATTTTGTGTCTTTTTAAAGATTTTGTCCATTTCCTCTATATTGTCCAGTTTATTGGTATGGTGTGTTCATAATATTCCCTTATTACTGTTTTGGTATCTGTAGAATCTGCGTTGTTACCTTCATCATTCTTGATACTGATCACTTGTATCTTATTTTTTTTTTTTCTGGTCTAGTCTATTTACAGAATTATACATTTTGTTGACCTCACAAAACCAGCTTTTGGTTTTACTGATTTTTATTCTATTGTTTTTCTCTATTCTATTTCAATTATTTTCACTTTAATCTTTTTTATTTCAATCCTCGTGCTTACTCTGGGCTTTATTTGCTCTTCCATTTCCAGTTCCTTAAAGTAGAAAGCGAGGTAACTCGTTTGAGACATTTGTTATTTTCTAATACAGATATTTTTAGTGCTGTGATTTTTTTCTCTGTGTACTGCTTTAACTGCATCCCACACATTTTGATATTTTTTCATTTTCATTCAGTTCAAAATACCTTCTAACTTTCTTTTAGATTTTTTATTTCACTCGTATGCTATTTAAATGTATGTTGTTTAGTTTCTAAATGTTTGGGGATTTTCCAGGGGTCTTTCTGTTACTCATTTCTAATTTAATTCCATTGTGGTCAAAGAACATACTTGAAATGACTTTTTTTTTTTAAGGAGGCTCCACACCCAACGTGGGGCTCAAACTCACAACCCTGATATCAAGAGTCAATGCTCTACTGACCGAGTCAGGCAGGCGTCCCCTAGAAACGACTGTAATATTTTAAATTTTTTGAGGCTTTTTTTATGGTTGAGAATATGGTCTGTCTTGGTAAATATTTCATGTCTATATGAAACTCAGCATTCCTCAGTTTTAAACATCCATACTTTTCTAATTTTTTTTTTTTAGATTTTATTTTTTCAGAGAGTATGTGTGCGAGCTGGGAGAAGGGCAGAAGGGGAGGGAGAGGGAGGATTTCGAGCAGACTCCATGCTGCGCGCAGAGCCCAACACAGGGCTTGATCTCAAGACCCTGAGATTATGACCTGAGCCGAAACCAAGAGTCAGACACCTAACTGACTGAGCCACCCAGATGTCCCCATAGTTTTGTAATTATTATTTCGTTACATTCATAGTAATTTGGGGAGAGTGTAGGTTATTGTCTTGAATCAGAAGATGCCTATTTGATGTCTTCAAGCTGCTCAAAGGCAGGCTCTGTGTCCTGTCTGCCTTTCTATCCCTTTAACGTTTCTCCTGGCCCCAAATGGAAGCTCAGCAGACCCTGGTTGAATGGATGGATGACACTCAAAAATGGTGAAGCTGTGTTCTTGTTTTTGACTCAGAAAATATCCCTGTTGTACCGTGTGACAAGATGGACTCTCACACACCTTTATGTCTTTGTGTCCTTATAGGACTTTGCACGTCGCTTGGCGCACCGAAGGTGCTCCAGCAGCGTTGGGGGCACGGAATGGAACCAGAGAGGAGCGGCCTCCGGCTGGTGGGGATTGAAGGCCTCGCTGAGGCACCTGACAAACTGCTCTGGCCACACGTGCAGGGGCTGTCCTGTCACAAAGCCCCCTGAGACATGATGTCACACACAGACACCACTCTCCTTGAAAAAGGGAGGGGCTGGGCCCTGGGTTCCCAGACTTCCCCGGGCTCTGGTGCCCTTCTAGGCTCGGTCCCAGAGCCGGACGGGAGCTGAGGAGGACGCTGCCTGGACTCTGGTCTGGTCAGAGGGTGCTCTGCAAATGGCCGACACCATCGAGGTTGGCAGCTTTGGCGAGCAGGCTCGAAGGCTGTCCTCAGGAAAGCACCCAAGCAGGTGAAAGTTGTCTCTGCAGCTCTTCGCTTCCCCTTGCCTCATCCCTTCCGACCCACCTCCCCCCGCCCCCCCTTCTCTCCCTCACGACCCATTTACTCTCCTCTCCTCCTCCAGACCGCCTCTCGGAAAAAGCCTGATAACTTTGCTCACACCAAGTTATAAATGGCCAAAAAGCTTCCCGGTGAATACATTGCGGGCGGGTTTCTCAGAGAAGGTGCTCTGGAGAAGGGAGGCACGCAGGGCCCCGCGGAGAGGTGAAGTGAACCAAGCCTGGAAAAGGCCCACGGGGTTTGGGGGCTCAGAGCGCACTGGTGACCTGGGTGGGAGAGGTGTTGGAGGTTTGCGGGGCCGGGAACAGATGCAGGAAGCTGAGGGGTAAGCGGAGGCCGAGAGGGGTGAAGACACCCAGGGCAGACAGCTGGTGGGCTGGGGTGGAGGATAGGGGGTCATTACAACGGGCACTGGGGAAGGGTCTGGTTCAAGGGAGAAGGCCTTCTTTTAATGCAAGACATGAGTGTGTGTGAAATGCTGATTAGAAGCCAGAAGGGAAGGGAAGCCTGAATATACCAGTGAGCAAGGGGCCCCCAAACACCCAGGCGGGGAGACCAGATGGAACGGAGCACAGAGCAGGGCAGCCGCCTCCCTGAGGAGGCAGCAGAGAATGGGTGGGTTTGGCGGCAGAGAGTCGAGGAACTCCTGTCGTCTGGGGGGTGCCTGCGTTCTCTGCTGAGAGTGGGGCAGGTGGAGGTGGGGGTGCAGGGTTAAAGGGAGATTCTGAACTTGTCCCTGGGGAGCCTAGGGAGCTCCCTTGGGAAGCAGAGGCTCCCCAGGCCGCACCGGGCCCAGCTCACATCAGAGACCTTGACTTTACCATGGCCTTGGTTTGTATGGAGTTCGACCATGCTGGTGGGATTTCAGACAGAGGATCTTTTTGAGGAGGCTAGGCATCTCCCCTAGGACTCCCTAAATGACAAGAGTTAATAATAATGATTAAAAACTACCAACACTTTCAAATATTTCCTGTTACACAGCGTTTCTGAAATAACTAGGCACCTACATCTGGGGTCATTTTACACCAAATGTTCAACAGAGTGATACTTTTTTCCTTAATCCTATCCCAACCCCCTTTCCCCATCCCGATTCTCTGAGAACTACCTTTCCAGCTCTGAGGGCATTGAAACCAGCTTTTGTTTGGGACTCTGAGGTCTTGGGAGAAATTCCTGAGCATTTCCCGAGCTCCCAGTGCGAGCCCAGTCCCTCCTAAATTTGGCCCCCGGCTGAGCCCTGCGGGTGGAGGTCCTGGCTTTTCCTGGACCACCTCTGGCCCCTCACACTCCGCGAAAGCCACCTGGTAAAGGAACACGGGATCCGGGGCCTGCCTGATGCATTGACTCTTGACCATCTTTTCTTCTTAGACTGAAAATGGTGTTTGGACTGGGCGGCCAGAGAGAGAGGTAAAGTTTAGGTGGGCCCTGCCACAGTGCCTCGAGTGACCAGGACGGGGAACCCCCACTTGGGTCTAAGAGGAAGGGAAAATAGGGTTCTCTGTTCCCCTTTCCTTGACCGTTCAGTATCTCTGGGACTCAGGGTTGGGGTGGAAGGCCTGGTCCTGCCAGGTGGGAACTGCCTGTGTGTGCGTGTGTGTGAGTGTGTGTGCACGTGCACGCACACACTGGGAGCCACTGTCCCTGCAGCATCAAGATGCTCTGCTTGTGGCAAGGGAGGGGTCCCAGAAGAGGTGGATGAGTCATGGGGATACAATTTCTGATCGGGATTGTGGGATCTGTCAGTCCAGAGTAGGGGGGCCTTGGAGGACCTCCGCAGGAAGAGTTGATCCAGCGTTGAGTGCCCAACCACGGCCGGGTCCTTGCTTTCCAGCTGGGAAGGCAGGGTGGACCCAGGGAGACAAGTGCAAAAAGAAAGGAGAAGGGAGTGTATTCCAGGCTCCGAGTCTGGCTCTCAACGTAGGCGGAGGCCCCGAGCCTGGCCCGCCGGGCAGTGGGGAGGCCCTGCGAGCCCGCTACAGCTGAGGGATTTATTCACCCACAGTGTGGGGACACGCGCTGGCGGAGTTGGTCCTGGGGTTTGGAGTGGGAGGAACCGGGTCCCCACCCGCAGTGAGGGCACGAGATGCCCCAGCCTTACCCTCAACTCCGCTTTCCTTCCAGGCTCTACAAGCCCCTGTACATAGCACACCTCTTGGTTCTTGCAGGTAAGGGCCTGGGCGCTGGGGCCATGGCAGGAGCCGGGGGGGCTGGTTCTCGCTTCAGGGCTGCCCCACTCTCCAGCTGCCTGCCCCCCGGCTCCCAGGCCCTGGCCGTGCTGCTCAGAGTCAAGGCTGCCCTTCTGTCCCTTTCCTTCCTCGGTACCTTCCTAGCGAAACAGATTTGAACCTATGTTTGATTCGAAAACCCATCCTCCCCCGCCCCCACCGAAAACCCACGAACCAAAACCTACACAACCTCATGTCCTATAGCTGTGATCTTCAACGTTGGCCCGCACACCTGTAATTGAAAAATTACATATCTTCTCATAATTTTAATACCTAACATTTTTCATTACCAGTTTAGCTTAAAAGGATACGATTTCTGGTGTATGGTAAATACTGACATTGTGAAGTAACTGTATCACTCTTAAGTGTTTTAATTAGTCTTTCTTCGCCCCCCTGCAGGCGTGGTGTACTACTATTTTCAGGGGTCTGTGGGGAAGCCAGCCCCTGACAGTGAGATTGCTGACGGACCCTCACAGGTAGGCACCGTGCAGGCCTAGGGGTGGGGGTGGCCTCACCGTAGCCTGAGTAGAGGTCATGCTCCTCGACCGCAGTTGTTAACCAGCTGTGTGTGTGTGTGTGTGCGCGAATGTGAGGGCTCTGCAGAAATTCGCTGTGCTTCCGGCAAAGTGTCCAAACAGAGGCTCCATCCCTCAAGGGCTGGCTCTATAGTCACCTCGGGGCTCTGTGGCCACGGTGTCCACAAACCAAAAGGAACAGATGATCCCTCATTCATGTGAGTAGCTCTGGAATGTGGTTCAGTGCTCACATGTGGATGAGGCGGTGGTGAGCAGGACGCCTGCCTGGGGTTGCATGCTCTCCTCGATGTCCCAGATCCAAGAACCCAGGGCAGAAGCCCCTGCTCCCAGCCCTGGGTGGCTGCTGGACGCCCACTGAGGGCCCCAGGCTGGACTATGTGCTGCCCATCTGCTTGGTCATGGTAAACCTCACAGCCACCCAGCTGCTTGCACTTCATGTAGATGGGAAACAGGCCCCCAGGAGGACAGTGACTGGATCCAGGCCCGCCCAAGTTGACAGGACAGAACCACATCCCTGATCTCCGGAGGCCTCCCGCTCTCTGAACAGTGCCCTTGGGAAGAGGGGATTTCCCATAGAGACAAGGCCGTCTGCGGACCAGAAGCACTGAGAAGGATGCGCTACACCTTTTGGGGCTGACCATTCAGAGCCGGGGAGCCCCTAAGAGGGCCCATGTTGGCAGGTGCCTTGGAGACCAAGGAGTCCAACTTTGCTTCCTTTCTTTGTTGTTGTTGTTGTTGTGGTTTAAAGTAACTGGTCACATTTCCACTTAAAAAGTTTTATCGTCATCAAAGATAGGCATATACGTAGTCTGATGCTCCAAAGTTTTAAGACCTGAAGCCAACAAATGGCCGCCTTGTGCCCCACCCACGATCCCCGCACCCCAGGATGGGAATCTTCCCAGCCTCCGACCTTTCCAGCTGGAACCTTTGATTTTTCCATGTTTCTAAATAGCAAGCTTATCCTGCTTTGTCTTGACTTTTCAGATTTAAAACATTAGCCAATGAATTCCTACAGTGGAAGCTGAGGTTTTAGCTCTCGGAACAACTGTCCATTTACTGTCCTCCGACACGCACTTCACCTCCCTCCAGCTTCCAATATAGTTACAGCTGTGTTTTCTAATCTGAGTAATGACATTTTCAATCGTTAAAATCTTTTAAATACCATTGTTGCTGACTTTGCTATCATTTTGGCCTTTAAGTCCCCCTCCACTGCAGTGGGCTCATTTTTGGCAGCCGGGTAACCCCCACCATAAAAAACAGAGCAGCTCCATCCCTTCAAAAAATTGTTCCAGACTCACGTGCAGTCAGCCCTTCCCCCACCCCTGGCATCCAGGGAAGCGTTTTCTGTTCCTATAGTCTGGCCTTTGTGAGATCGCCCTGTAAGTGGAGACATCCTGCCTGTCGTCTGGTCTCTCACCGAATTTGGTGCACCTGAGGCTGCTCTGGGCGCATGCGCAGCAGCGGCAGCTCGTTCCTTCTGGCTGAGCAGGTGTCCTTTGTGGGGATGGACTGTAGTTCGTCTGCTCAGCACCTAAGAGATATTTGGGTGTTTCTAGTTGGGGGACAGTTACAAATAAAGCCACTGTGGGGCGCCTGGGTGGCTCAGTCGGTTAAGCGTCCGACTCTTGGTTCCCGCTCAGGTCATGATCTCGGGGTCCTGGGATGGAGCCCCCGCATCGGGGCTCCGCACTCAAGTGGGGAGTCTGCTTGGGATTCTCTCGCCCTCTGCCCCTCCCCCCATGCGTGCTTTCTCTGAAATAGATAAAATCTTTTTTAAAAACCCCACTATAAATATTCATGTATAAGTTTTGTGTCAGCATAGGGTTTCCTTTCCCTTGGGTCACCACCGGCGGCGGGGCTGGTGGGTCACGTGGTCGGCGTCCGTTTAGTTTGGTGGGAGACCGTGACTTTTCAGAGGGGCCAAGGCGAGCTTCCGGTGGTTCCACATCCGCTCCTGCGCTCGCCGTTGGTTTTTGGCCATGCGGGGCGGGGGGGGGGTCTGTCATAGTTTCTATTAGATCAGTGTGGAGGGCATACATTTCGAAACCGTGAGAACAGGATTCTTAGCTGAGTCACCTCATGTACCTGGTTACTCTTCTCGGTGTGTGATTTTGGTTTTGCCTCTTCTTTCTGTTAGCTTTCTCTTTACCTACAATTAATTTACCCAGGCTCCCTGCCCAAAATACCGATCTCCTTGCAGTACATTTAGACAAATTAGGTGCTTTATCTGATGGTTTTTGCAGAGCCGTATGTCAGGGAGCCCTCCCTCCTGCTATCCTCACACAGACAGGATGTCCTCGAGGTTCGGCTTTCCTGGGACCTCCCTTTCTCGTTGCTCTGGGGAGCCCCTGTCACTCCTTTATTTTGATGGAACACAACCTCTAGGGGAACCTCTGCTTCCTGAGGGTAGTCTTGAGATATTACATGTCTGAACCGGACTTAATTCATATTTGACTAAGAGTTTGGGTAGGTATAGAATTCTAGACTAGAAATATTTTTCTCATAGATTTTGAAGATCCTCATTGTCTTCTGGCTTCAAAGACTTTCAGAGAAAAGTCTGAGGAAAGTTGAATTCCTAGAACAATTTTTTCTTTGTATTTCTGGAAGTTTTTGGGTTCCTTGTCCTCAGTGTTTTGAGATTTACTGATGACAAAATCCGGGGTGAATCTCTATTATCCATTGTCCTGGACACTTGGTGATTCCTTCTCTTCTGCAAACTCACGTCCCTTATCATGTCTGGATAAAACAGGGCCGTATTTATCTGGCATCTCTCCCTGCCACCTCAGTCTGTTGTCTGTTCTCTGTCTCGGAAAGACCTATGAGTTATCTGTGGGAGCTCCTGATCTCTTCTGTTCTTTCTGGGAAAAAATTTTTTTAACTTTACCTCCTACACTTTGATTGGATTTTTCATTCCCCTTATTCTATCATATTTTTGTTTTCAAGGATTAGAGGTTTTTTGAGCATAACTGTTTTATTCTTGTTTCACAAATGCCAAGTTTTAACTTTCTCAAGACAGGTAGTTTTTAGGTGTCTGCTATGCAGGCATCGACAGTGAATTAGTGAATTCGCGCGTCACCTCAGCCTCCCCCCCTCCGCTCTCCTCGTGCAGCTCGCAGGGGAGACCTTGAGGCCGGTGTGGGGGCCGATGGATAAGTGCTACCCTGTGACCACTCAGGTAGGTAAGGGCTGGGGACCCCACTTCGCCTGGAGTGGGCACCCTGGGCAGGTACGGTGAGAGGACGGCCCCTCCCCGCTGGAAGTCCCTTCTGTTTCCTTCTGTAGAGACGCAGAGTCAAGATCGGGAAGAAGCAAGCCAAGGTAAGTGAGGCTCGCTTCTGTCGGAGCTCCATGTGACGCAGAGACAGCCCAGCTCGTGGCAGGGGAGTCCCAGGGACGGTGGCAGCCCCCCACCCCCGGGAAACTTGCAACTCGCTGAGAAGGGAAGGCCTTCCTTGGGAAAACGAAGAACCATACGCAGTGCAGGTGTGGAGACGGGGCAGGAGGATGAAGGCTCTGCGGGCCTTTCTGCCCATGTCCGCCCTCCCGCCCCTCCCTGCAGGCCATGGCCCCCGAGGCAACGGGAGGACTGAGCGCTGCTGCGCCCAAGGAGGAGACTGAGCTCCGGTCTCAGCAGGAGGGGGAGGTGAGGCCCCCAGGGGTGGAAGCCGCAGGCCGGGGCCCCGCTGTGAAGGAGAAGGAGGCGGCTGAGGAGGAAGAAGCGGCAGGGGCCCCAGGCTGGGAGGTGAGGAACATCCCCAGCATGGGCCCTACTGGGAAGCCCCAGAGCACTGTGGGGGGGGGGGGGGGGGGGGGGGGGGGGGGGCAGTGTTGGGGGGGATGGGGCACCTGCAAGGACACGGGGCCAAACTGCTGTCCCGGTGGCACAAGGGGCCCTATGGGGTGGAGAGTGGGCCGGACCCTGCCTCCCCCCCACCTGCCCGTCTATGTAATGTGGCACCTGTCGCGTCCCACCACCGTGCCCCGTCTTTCTTCCCAGGAGAACACGAAGGTCCAAAAGGAGGTGGCAGTATACCCTTCCGGTAAGACAGCACGCCCCACCCCTGCGGGGCTAACGGATGGCACAGCCTCCCTCGGGCCCTGGGCCCTGGGCTGGGAAGCAGAGGGAAGGAGCCCAGCTAGCCAGGCGCCCCGTCCTCCCTGAATGTCTCGGCCGCCTCCTGCTTCCTTCCTGGTCGGCAGGAACCTGAGGCGAGCGTTTGGTCAGCGCTGGCCTGTCTCCCCCCGCCCCGCCCCGGCCCTGGGGAAGGGTCCTCCCTGCAGGGGACCCACAGGGCTTGCCTGTCTGTGCTTTGCAGAGGCCTCTGCGGTGGAGAGCAAGGAGGAAAGGCCTGGAGGCTGGGTCCCCCAGCTCCTGAGGAAGCTCTGGCTGGACTGGGTCCCAGCCGCTGACATCCCAAAGACTCAGAACCACGAATGACCAAATAGCCAATAAACCCGGAGACTTGCCACTTCTGCAGACCCAGCTGCTTCCTTTCAGGACCTTCGTCTAAACCCAGTGAGGCCCTGTCCACACTCCCTGCCCTGACAAGCTGCGCCTGAGCCCCGCCACAGCAGCTGGTACTCTGGAGAGGGCCCCCGACCCCTTGCTGAGGGGCAGAGTAAGTTCCCCGAATGTGGAGAGCCAGGGAGCTCCATGTCGTGAGCGCATTTAGAAGGTGCTGGTGGGACCTCTGTCAGGGATGCTGTTGGGTCTGGGGCGGAGGAGGGGTGTCCTCTGGCAAAAGAGGTCTGGCGGAGTGAGGCGCCTCTGACCTGTCTCTGGTCCCCAAACTGTTCCTTAAATGCACCAGGGGGCCTGCCCAAGACCTGGCTAAATGGGTGCTGCCCAGCTGCTCGGTCCAGAACCAGCCAATTGTGGGGGTGGGCACAGGGGGAGGACAGCAGTCCTGCTCTCGGCTGGGGCTCCAGGCTAACAGGGTCACGGGCCCAAAAGTCAGAGCAGGACCACCAGCCCCAGCAGCCATCTGGTGCAACCATCTCACTGGCTGAGGGGGAAACAGAAGCCCAGGGCAGGGAAGAACCGGCCCCGGGTCACAGAGTATCCCGGCAGAGCAAGGATGAAAGCCAGGGTGTCCTCCTCCGAAGTTCCCACGTGGCCACTTCCTCCTCTGGCCATTCCGCTGTCACATGGGTCCAAGGATGGCGCCTGTCCCTAGGGTATACCTGGGGCCCACAGGTCTCACTGCCTTCCCCTGCTCAAGTCTCCTGAGAGCCCAGCTTGACCCAACCACTCAAGAGGACTGTGCCCTAGGTTGGAGCCCCGATGAGTGGCCCTCCTTCTACTCTAGCCTGGCTGTGAATGGCAACTTCTGGGCAGGCCGCCTGGACACAGGCATCCCTGAGGGGCTGGGAAAGGGGTCCCCCCTAGCTTGGGGTGACTGAAAGACAGGGAAGTGGCTCACTCCTGGACTGCCAAAGGCTTCCCAGGGAAAGTTCTGGCACCTGTGGACTGAGCCCTGGGTGTTAACTTGGCCCATACCCTCATGGCCATCCCTGAAGTCCCTACCTTTGGGGTAGTCGTAGATGAAGTGGGACAGAAGAGCGGGTGGTGCTGGCGGGGCTGCTGGCCCGTGGGGTGGGGTGGGGTGGGTGGCGTTGGACCTGAGATGTGGGTGTCCAGGCTGAGTGGGGCCTGCCCACGCCCACCAGGGTCCGGCTGAGAGCTCTCAGCAGCTTGTTCTAGCTCTTCCTGCCATGAGCCAGGACCTAAGTACAGACATTGTCACTAGCCCAAGTTGCCAGTATTGAGTCCCTATGGGTGACAAGGGGTAAGCTGTGATCTTCTGACCCTCAGGATCCCCATCTCTCAAATGGGATCAAATGCAAGGTAAGGATGGCTCAGAGGGGGGTAGGGGATGGCCCTGGGGAGGCTGCTAAGGCCCCATCATGGCCAATGGTTGGCCAGGGGGCCCTGAGGGGACTCAGAAGCCAGGATGGAGCCACCCAACTGGTTTATTGGCCCATCAGGCCCCTACTGAGGAGCCGGTGGGGGGGGGATGCTTCCTCCCCCTGGCGAGGCACAGCACAGAGCTGGGAGGGGGCTGGGGTCACCAGGAAGGAGAAGACCCTGTGGTCGCTGGGCCAGGGCTGTCCGGCAGGCACGGAGAAGCTGAAGCGTGGCGGGAGACAGGTGAAGAAGAGGAAGAGCTCCGTGCGGGCCAGGGGCTCTCCGAGGCAGATGCGGCGGCCTGTGGGGGGGTCCGGGGGTACGCCTCAGGAGGGGCCAGCGAGTTGGGCACCCCGGGCACCTGCGGAGAAGGGCATGAAGGCCTCCTGCTTGACGAATCGGCCCTGGGCATCCAGGAAGTGCTCGGGTTAGAAACGGAGGGGCTTCTTCCAGACCTTCTCGTCCTTCAGCACCGACGATAGGCTGGTGATAAGTCTTGTCCCCTGGCAGGAGATGCCTGGCATGAGTGGGGTCCAGGGTACAGGACGCCCAGACCCCTGCCACCAAACATCTATGGGGGCGCACACTCTGCCTGGCACACACCCGGCCTCTTTCAAGTAACCCCTCAGCCCGAGAAGCTTCTGGGCACCCTCTCTGTCCCCACAGTGGGGCTGAGTGCCTCACCACCCATGGGCGCCCACGCTGCCACCCACCCCTGTGCACGGGCTCCTCCAACACCTTGTGGCAGATTTCAGTTTGTCTTCCCCAGGGGACTGGGGCTCTGAAGGGACAGGACTGGCCCTGCTGATGCTCTCCCCACCCCCCGGCCCCCACCCAGGCTCCAGAAACACGGACTGGGGGCCCGGGCCCTCCCGGGCATTAGCCGTGCTGGGGCTGCCAGGCCGGAGGTGGTGCTGAGCAACAGGTGAGGGAGGCCCACAGACCTACCTTGGGGATGAGGAAGCCCTGCACTTCAGGGTCTTGGGACGTCATGCGAAGCAAGCCCCGTGGGATGATGTCCCCAAAACGCTGCACCTCATGGACCACAGCCATGGTGAAGGGCATGTGGGTCTGGTCCCTCATCTCTGGTCCCTGCACCCGCCCTATCACCTCATCTATCTCCTGTTGGACACGTGCTGGACAGACAGGCATCCCCACAGTGGTCAGAACCCAGGGGTCTGGGCTCCGACCTCTGCCTGACTCCTGTGGAGGGCTGTGCCCACGTGGAGGCAGCTCTTACCTCCGAGCGAGGGCCCAGCCTCTGCTCGGAGCTTCTGGGGGGCCAAATCAAGCTCAAGGGGCCCCAGCCTGTCCCTCCCCTCCCTCATCCATCCCACTCGGCCCCCAGGGTGGACTCACGCTGCACGTCCGGGTGCAGGATCATGAGCAGCAGGGCCCAGGTCAGCGTGGCTGAGGCGGACACCATCCCAGCAGCAAGAAGGTCAGATGTCACCATGCCCAGGTTCTCATCATTGAAGCTGCTCTTGGGGCTCCCCTTGGCCTGGGCCATGCCAAGAGGGTGAGCTCTGGGGCAGAGGGAAGGAGCCTCCAAATGGCCTCTCCCACCCCGGGACCCATCAGTAATCACTGACCACTGGCTGATATATGGGCCCCACCTTCCTGGGCCTTGAGTCACGGCGCCTTCAACCCCCAACCATTGTCCCTGACACCTCACCTTTTCCACCTCATCCAGGAAGGCATCAGTGAGGTCTCGGGGTGGCTGGGTTGGGTCCCGGGTCGTCCTGTGTTCCTGTACTAGCTCATCTATTAGGATCGTGAGGGTCTTCTGTGCTGAGCAGAGCTTGCTGGGCAGCCCCGGGATGTGCAGGAGCTCCGGGATCGAGTTCAGGATCTGTGCGCACCACAGATGGGGACCTTCCTGTGCTCGGGTGTTCGTCTTGATCAGTCAGGTCCCGTGGCCTCCAGAGTGTCCCCACCACTGACATGGTTCTTCCCTAAGTTCGGCCTTGATCCTCTTTCCTGGCCCGGGGCCCAGAATAAATCTAAAATCTAGACCTCATGGGCTCCCGTGGTGGCTTCCAATGAAGGAGGTGTTAAGATTCCTTAGCCGTCTCCCTCGGTTGGATTTCCCCACCTCCACGCCTCCCGTCTCGGAATGCCTTTTCTCCCCCGCCCCTCTCTCCACCCCCTCCGCCGGGAAGCCCATTTTAGGGCGAGGCCTCCTCCCCGGAGCTCGCCCCGCAGGGCTCCTTGGTGCCTCCGCCCCGCACCTCGCGCAGGAAGCCCTGGGCCTCCTCCACTCCCGCCGGCAGTCGTTCCAGCAGCTTGAGGAAGCGCGGGTCGTCGTACTCGAAGCGGCGCCCGTAGGTGAGGGAGGAGATCACGATGCTCACCGCTTTATCCACGCGGGCGCCGGGGCTGAAGGCTCGCCTCCATCGCCTCTTCCCCGGCCCCTCCATCCATCCCTGTCCCCGGGGCCCCTCAGCCGCAACTCTCACCGGCATGGTCGGAGAAGGCTTCACGGAGGCCCGAGGCCTCTTCGATCACCCACTGCTCCAGTGACTTCTTGTCCGGGCCGAAGTTGCGCAGGGTGGACACGGAGAAGCGCCGCTGCTCGCGCCACTCGCGCCGGTAGCGCGCCGGATTCACCCCCTGGGGGCGGGGCCGGGACGTGGGCGGGGCTCTGGCGTAGTCCGCCCCGCCCCCTTCGCAAAGGCCCCACCCCCGCCCCCCGCCCCTGCCCGGTTCACAATCCCACCCCCTCTGATACAGGCCCGGCTCCCTGCCCGCCCACACCAAACTTGCTCCCCACCCCCACTAAAGCGCGCCCACTTTGACACCCACTTCCCGCTGGGGACACGTCGCTCTGCCTGCCCGCTTTGCTCGGCAGCTGGGGGCAGGTGCTGACCCCACTCCGCTCTGCCCACGCTGGCATCCTGTACCTGCTCTCGAGGGCCCTGGGCCCACCCCGTCTTGGGCAGGGCCCGCCCTCATCCTCTCGCGTCCCACCCAGGTACTTGGCACCAACTTCTTCCTCCACCTGCAGCCCCTCCAAACTTTCTACCTCTTCCCTGCACTGCACGTCCACGATCCTGCCCCCGCCTGGGCCTGCGGGAGCTTGAGTCACTGCTGGCCCAGTCCCGGCCAGGCCTCGGTCTGCCCCCATCTTCCGCTTGCCTTTGGAGGGCGGCCGGAAGCCCAGGTGCTCATAGACCCGCATAGGCGGCCGTTCAGCTGTGTCCTCGCTGTGGTACACCGGTGCCTCGCGCCCGGCGTCCAGGCTGTTGAGCACGACCACAGGCGTCCGTCCCAGCTGCAGGCTGAACACGTTCCCGAAGCCGCGCCGCAGCTGCAGGCCAAGAGTCGAGGGCGTTCGTCAGGCCGGGTGCCCACCAGGCTGCAGGCCTCAGTCCCATGGCGCTAGGCTTGGGGCACCCCTGGGCCACCAGCGGCGCTGGGGTGCAAGGGCGAGATCGACCACGTGACCGTGGGGGTCACATTCTCTCTGGAGGAGGGGCTGACGCTGGATAACACCTCTCAGCTATGACTTTGCAAAGGTCACCAAAATTGTCACTAGGCCAAGTTAGGTTCCTAGCTCACAGGTGAAGAAACTCAAGTTCATGGAGGTGAGCACTGAGACCCTGCCAAAGACCCACAGCAGCAAAAGAGTTGAACCTGTCACTCTACCTATCTCAGCCTCGGTTTCCTGATTTAAATGGGGCTCCTGTCCAGATTCCTTCCCTCATTCTCAAGACCTTTCCTCCTGATGTCATCAGAAGGGACCCAGGTCATGTAATTTAAGTGCTATCCAACTGGATCTCAAATCCACTGCCAAGTCCACACTCCACTCCGGGCCTTTTCTCTCTCTGACCTTTGTTTGGAAAATCCAAAGTGTCCTTTAGGCCCTGCACAAAGGCCCTCCTGCAGTCAGCCCTGCAAACCTGCCTCTTCTCAGCCCATCTCCTTGTGCAGCCTGTGGCTTCATCCACCAGCTGCTGTCTGCTGCTAGGTGGGGTCCCCAGGGTCTCTGCTGCCATCCCCCTACCTTCGTTACCTGGTCCAAGTAGCAGAGTGTGTTCTGGAAATCCATCTGCAGCAGGTTGCCCCACAGGGGCAGCCCAGCGTCTGCACCTGTGCATCAGGTCCACCAGGAGCTGGAAGATGGCCACGGCCACAGCCAGGGACCCCAGCATATCCCCGGTCAGCAGCCCCATGGCTGCCTCCACGCCCGCTGGCCTCCTCTGGTACACGGGTGTCCCTCACCACACCAGGGACTTAGGACCAGCCAGAAAGGGTGCTCTCACCACACTTGGGGAGCTCATCCAGCCTGGCCCCGCTTTCTAAAGGGATCTGAGACCAGCCTTTGCCCTCTGCCCCGAGTCAACATGTCAGGGCGACTGTGCTGCCAGAGGGTGCAGGGAGGGGCCGGGCAAGGTCAGGTGAGGGGTGACCACAGGAGTCCTGTTCCTCCTGGCCTCTCCGGGTGCTTACCCAGGGTAGTGGGGGTGGGTAGGGGAGAGACGATGAAGCCCCCCCTTCAGCCTGACTCTCCAGCTCCGCTACGGGCTCCGAGGAAAAACCAGCGGTCACTGGACTTGGTCCTGCCACCCACCCGTCATATTGGGTCACACCCCATAGTGTGGTCACAGCCTTGGCCCCAGAACACAGCCATGCCCTATCACGTGGCCTGCCTCCTCCCAAGTGGTTTTTGCCTCCCGAGTTTGTCACTGGCACTTGCCCAGTGCTGTAGGGAGGTCGCAATGATCAGAGGGACCATGTGCGGGGGGAGGGGGCAGTGTGGAAATGAAGTTCTCAGCGTCCCCTCCATTCACCCCAGTTCACTCAACACATACAGAACCACACAATCACCAACCGCTCACACATTCACAGACACTACCTACATGCTCATACTGACAATCACAGGCAAATGCATTTATACACCCACAAAACCATGCACACA